GAAGTGTCGGTTTCAAAAGTATAATTCGCTTTTATTTCAAATTTTGTTTCGTTGCTGAGAAAATTCGTTTTTTTCTAAATCAGTGGCGGAAAAAGTCGGAATTCTGTCCGTTGTTTTCAATTTTCTCGATCAGAACTCAACTTCTATATAATAAAAATATTATATTTAGAATCAGGATCAAAAACTCAGTCGATTGATCTGTATTTCCAAATTTTTAGCTGATTTCAGTTTTGGGTGAAAATCTTGCTGATTTTTCAACGTGAAAATTCGAAAAAACTAAAGTACTCGAATAGGATAGGGATACACATCAGTCGATTCATTTTTTCATCCTGATTCCGAATATGATATTTTTATTGCATAAAAGTTGAGTTCTGGTGGAGAAACTTGAGAATTACGAATTACATTCAAACCAGCAAAAAAATTTGGGACTCAAAAGGGTTAAACAGTATGGTAATGGAAACATAATAACAACAGTGTTTATTTATTGTTTGGAAGAAGCATTAACGATCCAGCTGGAAAAGATCTTGATGTATCATTGAAAGAAACACTGTTGAACATTAAAAGTAAGTAGATAATTGTGTTTGATTATATTTTGCATTTTGTCAGCTTCGAAATGAGTCACTCGAACGTTAATTGATATAGACAAGTAATGCAAGAATTAATTAAACGAGTTTCAGAATTATAATCCTTTGCCAGTTCTGATAAATTTTGATCATTTAAACTGAGAAGTAATCCATCAATTAATTTAATATGCTGAACAAAATGTGTCATATAGGAGTTTACAAGCAGTAATCGATTCACAATAGCTATTACACGCGTCATACATTGAATAATTGGCTCACGAGGGATGGCCCCCGACTGCCAAATCGTTTTTGACGTAAACCTTAGTGGACAATGGGTAACCGAGCATGCTGATTCCGAATACGACGATGGTTTTTGCCAATGCGTCTTTAGAGACCCCGGTTTTTGAAAAACGGGTTTTCCCAATGAAAAACTTTTTTGATCCGTACAAATGAAAGCGCATGCTCTAAAACCTACGCAAAACTATTTTTTAAGATTTTGGAACGGTTTTGAACAGTTTTAAAGGATCAAAACTTAATGCTACAGCCGAAAACGGCTTTTTATTGCGCTACGCTTTGATAGATAAAACATGTGAGAAATAGGTAATCGAATGCGCTGATTCCGAAGAACAGTGTCAAGAAAAAAATTGTGATGAATCTATCTTTTCTTCTCCTATCCATCAAAGGCGATAGAAGATCTTTTTTCAAAAGTAGTTTCCTCGCCGCACCCTCAATACACTAATAACTCAACTTACACACCTTATTCTTTTTCACCGCTTTTGCAACTGCTTCCGCCCCTTCAACTGATATATTGTTGTGGTACATAGTGAGAGTTCTTAACGTTCTGTTTGTTTTCAAGGCTTCTGCAATTGCTTTTGCCCCTTCATCTGATATCTTATTGCCACGAAGATCCAAAATGATTAATATTTGATTTGTTGTTAAGGCTTCCGCAATTGCTTTTGCCCCTTCCGCCGATATATTGTTACTACCAATATCCAGAGTTGTTAATATTCTGTTTGTTTTCAACGCTTTTGCAAGTGCTTTTGCCCCTTCATCTGATATATTGTAGTCATACATAGTAAGAGATGTTAATGTTTGGTTTGTTTTCAAGGCTTCTGCGATTGCTTTTGCCCCTTCATCTGATATCTTGTTGTGGTACATAGTGAGAGTTCTTAATGTCTGATTTCTTTTCAAGGCTTCTGCGATTGTTTTTGTCCCTTCAGCTGATATATTGTTGCGCGACATAGAAAGTGTGATTAATGTTTCGTTTGTTTTCACGGCTTCTGCAATTGCTTTTGCCCCTTCATCTGATATGTTGTTCTGACCAATATCCAGAGTTGTTAATGTTTTGTTTGTTTTCAAGGCTACTGCAATTCCTTTTGTTCCTTCAGCTGATATATTGTTGCACGACACAGAAAGAGTTGTTAATGTTTCGTTTGTTTTCAAGGCTTCTGCAACTGCTTTTGCCCCTTCAGCTGATATGTTGTTATTTTCAATATTCAGAGTTGTTAAGGTCTGGTTTGTTTTCAACGCATCTGTAATTACTTCTACCCCTTCAGCAGATATATTATTGCCATGAATATCCAGAGTGATTAATGTTTGGTTTGTTTTCAAAGCATCTGCAATTGCTTTTGCCCCTTCGACTAATATATTGTTGTATGACATAGAAATACTTGTTAATGTTTGATTTGTTTTGACGGCTTCCGCAATTGCTTTTGCCCCTTCATCTGATATCTTGTTGTGGTACATAGTGAGACTTGTTAATGTTTTGTTTGTTTTCAAGGCATCTGCAATTGCTTTTGCCCCTTCGGTTGATATACTGTTATCTTTGATATCCAGAGTTGTTAATGTCTGGTTTCTTTTCAAGGCGCCTGCAATTGCTTCTGCCCCTTCAGCAGATATATTGTTGTTCTCCATATAAAGAGCGATTAATGTCTGGTTTGTTTTCAAGGCTTCTGCAATTGCTTTTGCCCCTTCAACTGATATATTGGTGTCAGCAATATTAAGAGTTGTTGTGTCATCAGACCTTAGTTTTTCTACAATTTCCTTCTCTGGCTTGGATAGTTTTGTCGGATAAGTTTCCGATACACTTGATTTTTTCAATTGCGCTCCCGCTGGTGGTGGCTTGGCTGGTGCTAACGGTGAGAAGAGCAGCTGTCGAGAACCTGAAGAGAGAACAAATGGAGCTTGAAGGGAGATATGCGGGGTCATTATTTTTCTACCATGAATACTGTATGGAGCTTTGCAGCTCATGCTTTACTGACAACTTCACAATGCGATCCTGGTCGAAGAACTATTGGATATTTTGGTGAATACTTTTTGATAATACTACAGTTATGCTGATTGATTACGGTACGGTAACAGGTGAAGTTACTAGGGGTGAAGGCTAATTCTCTCTCAGAAAAAAAAAATCTGTGTCAAAATAGTTGTGATATTTTGATATATGTGGAAAAATCGGTAAGATCTGACTCAGCGTCACAAAAATAGGCTATTCACGTCTCACAGACTCTGTTAAATCTCTCTGTGGACAAAGCTAAATTAGATGTAATCATAAGTTACCATCTTTTGCTTGGTCGAGGAAATCTTCGTGAACAGTGCGATATTGATCAGCGAGTTGATTAATTTTACTGATAAAGTCTTTCTTCCATTTATCAATTTGTTTCAACAATCGATGAGAAATATTTTCATTTGGCGTTTCGAGGTGCTGTTTGAACATATCGTGTTCATAAACAACATTGTCGAGTTGTTTTGACAAACCTTGACGATGATCATTGAAACAGCCTCGGCAGAACTTTTCTAAACACCGATCGCATGTGAGTATACCACAACCTTTCTCACATTTTGCACATTGAGCTGTGGATGTCGCTGCCATTTAAAGCCTGAATAAAATATATGTTCTTCTATTGGAAGGAAAGGCACTCTGTTTCAGCCTTGTAGTAATGCTGAAAATAAAAAGTCTCTAGTTAATGAGACAGCACAAAAGCTTAAGCTCGTGTTTGTAATGGATCTAATGTATATCAAAAATTTCTGTGCCACTCACTCGTCAGTTTATATTGAAAAACGTGTTCTCTGTAAGCTTTAATAGTCGACACTGATTTAAAAAAAAGGTAACTAATTTGATAAAAAGAAAAAAATTCTTTTTTCTTCTGTCGCGATGATGGTTTCCTTACTAAAATAGAAGCAGTGGAACAGCCATACTTTGTGCGTGTTTCATTTGAAATAAGTAAAAGAAAAGTGTAATAAAGACTTTTTCCTTTCTTTTGAATGGTATATAGAAGGAATATGACAAGAGAGAAAAAGCAAAAAAACACGGTGGGCTGTCAGACCTGATGCGAGGAATCAAAATATTGAAGATTTTGAATTTTTATCGCTTACTTTAACTGTTTATTTTAACTTACTTACTTATTTTTGTGGCTCTCGCTTGTCATCTGCTGTCGAACTCTCGCCCAGTTTAACTTCTAATGCATACCTGAGGAAGATCGATCTGAAGCAGAAACTTGCTTACAAGAACATTTCAGAAACTATAATATACTTATCTCTGTAATCTGAAACGTTCCAGATTTCTGGACGTCTCGTCACTCGAAAATTATAAGAGAAATAAAATGCAAAAAGAGTCCTACGGAATTTCACTCCGGTTTTTGCTAGTCAAGCTGTCTTGTATAGTGTGAGTGAATCAGTGTAAATATCACGTATCGCATCATTTAATAACATTTTTAAATCATCCTGTTGTACTGTTAAAACGGTTTCTGCATCTTTGAGCGATAATACTATTGCGACAGATATTTTAGATTGTCTGATGAAATGGTATTTGGTATCAAAAACAAAAGAACGCTGAGGTTAGATAGTTGTACGGATTAATTGTCAATCAAAGAAACTTTTTTACCACTCATTACAGAATGGTTTCCGATACTGGATGATTAATCTAAAACTTACTACTATCTTCTGATATTCTTTTGAACAATAGAAGAATCAGTGGGGCTAGAAGGTATCCGATTTTATCGTTTTGCAGAGAGGGCCTTACGCCATTGATTTTACATAGGATCGTTAACGCTGAAGACACAGGGTCAGGAGGTCCGCGACTGCACACTAGCTTCAGAGTATTGTTGAAGATAATGACCTTGATGTTTTGAACTCGATTTATTTGAACTAACTAAATATTTGTTTCACAAGCACTTTTTCGTTAAGACTTGGAAATTTGAAGTGGCTCTTACTACGGGCACAGTCGTCGAGGCTGCCTTTATGTAACGTTCCTCTCAATGCAGCTGAGGCTATATACGTTAGACGCCACCGACATAATTCGGTGATTCGATCTTCAGTAGCGATCACCCATACACTGACTAATCGTCGTCCGAAGAGGCAGTTACCAAAAATATCAGTTTTCGGTTTATTACGTAGCAAGAAATTGGTACAAAATCGTTATTTCTCGACCGAATTGATACCAAAAACTGTGAATGTGCTTTTCTTCTTTGCATAGCCCATTTCACGCTATAAAATACTGGAACATGCGCAGTTCAAAGAGCTGTGTGGAAGTCATTCAGTTCTTTGAAAAATGAGGCTATCAGAGGTCTCCATAATTCATCTCAAGGATGTTAAAGATATACTAAACAAGATCGTTTTAAAACAACAGTTTTAAATTTCCCTGATAGTTTGAATCAATTTGGTTGAGAAATAAGGCTTTTATAATATTTTTATTGTTGCATATTAATGAAAAAACTGGTATTCCTCGAGATTTCTTCTCCAGTCACCCCCTTCAACTGTCCTAGGAAGAAATAAGCGTTACAACGAGACTTAACATGATCAATACAAATGTCTTTATCCATTTTTATGTTTATATAACTTCGAAAAACCAAGATAGGTATGTGGATTCACCGAAGCCCACTGTAACCACTGTAGGTTTTTCTGAACCAACGAGTTACAATTCATAATTAATAGTAAAGAGACCAGTTGGTAAAGAAACTCATTTGTGCGATTTTAATTTTCGTTTTTTGATTCAATTTACACACACACCCGTCCCATCCATTCAGGCGCATGTGACTATTTGCGAAACACATCCGCCACATCATTTCTACCAACTTTCCACGTTGTTTAGAGCTCGTCGAAATCCTTTTCCGAGCATTTCATATTTGCTACTGATTCGAATTCGTCAGTTTTTTATGCATACTCGCAGGAGAGTCTAACGAGTCTCCTGATGAAGTTGTAATTAAATTTTAGTGGCGTAGCATAAATTTTTCTTTAAAACTAAAAAATAATAATATTATTGAATGCATGTGTTACATGTTGAATTTTTTCAAAATAAATATAACAATCAATAGTTCTATTAACAAGGACCTTTCAACATTAGAAAAAGCATAACAAAAGCAGTGGTGTGAATCATTTTATTTTATTTTAAATTCAGACGTATCGATTTATTTGACCCTTGTACTCCCAAGCCTATTTTAGACGCAATAAATAGAATGTATGCATTCATAGAATGTATTTTTTGTTTTTTGAGAACAGGGTCTAAATAGATCCTGGTTGGTAGTACAAGGGTTAAAAGTCATTTCCAAGGATCTAAACATACAAAGTCTAAACGGGCTGAGATAGTTTATTCTATTATTCTTTTCTTCTTCCCAAGCAAAAAAATGCCTTTGAGAATATCCAGCTATAAAAATATGCTATCGGGCAATATCGGCTTGTGGCAGCTAGCTATCCGTATCACTTTTATTGAGTTAGCTAGTTATATAGGCTATGATAGCTAGCGACTAGATATCGTACCCGATATATCGGGTTGACGAAAAACACTGATTAGAGTAACTATTTAGTCGATATATTGATTCACGTAATGACAACATGAAGGTTGCTGTCTACATTGCATCCCGGAATGTCTGTATACAGACATCCTGCTTTCTGTAATAGATTTACAGAAAGCAATATTCCCCAATATATTGGTCCATTATTGCTCAATATATTAACTTGATATGAATAAATACTTTGTGAATTTGTGAAGTGTATGTTTTACGTATGTAGTACAATGGCAGCTAAACAAAAAGGTGAGTAATCCGATCGTCGATATATCGAGTAATATATCGTGCTAGCTGGCTATATATCGCCCGATAATAAATAATCTACTTCGAATTGCTAGCTAGCTATATATTGAGTTAGCTAGCTAAATCGCCCGATAGTCGATATTTTTTTTCTGCTTGGGTTTGTTTTCAATATTAAATTCTACAAGTTGCTTGAACACCATCAATGATTGATGTTAACTGACAGTTCCTATTTATTATCTCAGCAAAATGTTCTACTCAGTGAAACTTGAAACCATAAAATAAATTATTTTAAATGACTTTTTATGTTTGTTTTTTGTAAGTAATATAGATAAATTTAAACTCGGAAGTTAATGTAAATTAACTGGGAAAAACATGAATTTAAATTAAATTATTTTTGATCATTTGCACTAATTTGACAAGTGTAATTCATATAAATCAATCTTCTCTGCCGGAGTCGTTCACATGAATTCGAAACTCTTTTTTCTTGTTGATTAAAATCAATTTAAATTAATTTCACTTTTTAGATTATTGCAAAGAAAAAACTAACGTAGTTAATTTTAATAGGAAAAAAGTGCAAGGAATTGATTTCAATTTTCACATTTATTGAAATCAGTTTATTTTCTAATTTGTTTGAATCAACAAAAGTTAAAAAATTATTGTAGACAAATTCAAAATCCAAACTGATCCAACTAGAAAATAAATTATGTTGAATGAATGTGAAGAAAACATTAAATCATGTTAATTCAAAACCTCAATCAATCTAAATTGATTTCTTTTTATAATTAATGTAAATCTAATTTGGATGAATTTCTAGGACTATTTACGAAGGAAAAATTTATGTAAATTAATTAAGATTCATTAATTTGCAAATTTTTTTTCTTGTCAAATCGGTGGAAAAGGGTCTCCATGCAATTCCGAATTCCGCAAACGGTCCAGCGCTTATTTTTAGGTCCAACGGACAAGCCTTTCCCTTGTCCAAAAAACATTTATTAATTTTGATAAGAATCTTATTAATTTTTTACGAATTTCTTATATAAGAAGTTGCACGAAGGTGATAAGAAATTCATTGGTTCTGGTAAGAAATTTATAAGAATCGTATAAGATATTCATAAGATATCGTAAGAATTTCTTGAAAAGTTTTTTAATCATTTTTCAATCAGATTTCTGAAAGTAATTTTTTCAAGGAGTGTTTCATGTTTTGATTACCTTGAAATCTTAAGAAAACATTGTTTTGAGATCCCTCGAGAAAAGTAACGGAGTCATGGAAGTACGCCAGTATGACTTTGGCCAAGTAGACGTTTGCCACTTGGCGAACGGCCTGGCCGTCAAGCAGCTCGCTTGTCATAACGAAAGAGCAAATAAATCTGGAAATTAAACCGGATTCGTCATCAATGCCATTGATGGCCATTGATTCGAGTACAATGAATGAAATGTTGGTACCACTAAGCGAGACGGATATCGGTTTATTTCTGAATGTTAAATTGCATGAGAATA